CACATATATATATATATAATATTTATAAAGATAACATATTTAAAAAAAAATGTTTTTATAATTTAAAATGATATAAAATATGCATGAATATAAATATTCAAATTTTTATATATTTTTAAAAATATATATTCTAGCATATATGCTAAAGCAAAATTTAAAAAAAAAATTGAGAAATACATTGAAAATCATATAATAAGATATAGAAACATAAACTTTAAATTTAATATATGTGCATGACACGAGTTATAACACTGGTATTTTTAGGATTAGTGTTTACTTTTAATTATATGATTAAAATTTATTAAAAATATTATGTTGATATCATTTGGTCGCATCAGAAAAGATACACGAGAAGGGTGGGATATTTGTAAAAATTTTGATGTTTAAATCAATTACCGACCCAAAAAATATTAGTAGAGATAAACATAGCTAAGGTAGCTCTTCTCATCGATGAAAAACCTTTCGTGCTCTCCAGAATTCCTCCTCTCCCATATTTATGGTGGTGATTTTTATCGACCTCAACCAAACCAAAGCCACTGAGCTGCAATATTTGAGATGTCTTGGAGACACCTACTAAAATCGGAACCATGCATGCAAGTGCAACCACAATCCCTCACAATCACTAACCATTACTGAATTCAATCCTGCTTAAGTCAATTAATAGGAGTCAAATACTAGGATCGGTCAGAGACTTTGAAGGATTCACAGTCTCACAAGCTTTGAGTCTTAAGGCGAAAGAGCTTAAAACATGAATGTTTGGTTCACGATCGAAACTTCTAAGGTTAGTCAGAGACCTTGGAGGGTACAATTTCTAAAATAATAAGCAATATCGTAATTTTATAATTTAAACTAAACTTGAAACTGTGCAATGTACATATACAAATATTTTTTTAATAAATGATATTTTGATCTTTGAATTAGAAAATGTTATATTATTTATTGAAATTATGAAAAATATCAAATAATATAATTCTCTAAAAGTACAATTTGATAATAATAATGATGATAATAATAATAGTCAAGATTAAAAAAAAGTATGACTAAAGTGATAATATTTATATATATTCAAGAAGAAAAATAAAAATAAATATATAGATTATACTAATAAATTTATTTTATTTTGCATTTTCTCAATTTTAGGGGCTAATATGTTATAATATTATACATTTTAGAGACCAAAATATTATTTTCTCTTTATTTATGTAATATTTTAAATATTTTATTTTATAAAATTATTTTCTATTTTTATTATTAAAACTAATTAATCATTATGTTAGGTTTTTATTACGTTTGTTTTTTTTAATGTTATTTTTTATTATCCCACATTTTAGACA